GTATTTACGCCTCTATTCAAGCCTTGAAATTGACGTAGCGCGAGAATTCTGGTCTTCTAGCGACAGACTCGCCGTTTCCAAGCTCAACAATACTTATTTACTATTATGTAATACCTTCAAATAATTTCATTCAGCATGTGAGTATAAGATCATTTCTTGATCACTAAAATTAAAGACGGCAATCAATTTCACAAATCAAGAACATATTTACCTATTTACTATTCAAATTATTTTATTTGAATCAATCATTTTATTTAGCATGTGAGTATGAAGATCATTAATTATTTATTTGAATTAAAATTAGTAAAACAAGTTCAAAATCATATTAAAATGCAGTATTTATTTACTATTACAAAATAATTTCTTTTACATTAATTCAGTACGTGAGTATAAAGATTATCTATTAATTATTGAATTAAAACGCAAAACAGGTTTACTAATCAAGTACATAATTACTCATTTACTATTATATAATATTCTTCAAATAATTTTATTCGCATTTGTTTAATCATTTCATTTAGTATGTGAGTATAAAAAATCATTTATTAATTATTAGAATTAAAATTAGTAAAATAAATTTTAATTCAAGAATATAGGAATTTATGTATTTATTTTATTTGCACTAATTAGCTAGTGAGTATTGAAATTATTTCTTGTTGTAGATGATGCTAAAATCAAATGATACTAAATCTAGAGGTTTTAATTTAGAAATATAAACTTTACCAAAATCACTCTATACTTTAATTATAAACTCCAACCCAAATTCTAATTTAAACCTAAAAAAAAACCAAAATATGTACTTTATAATTTTTAAAAATTGTATATTAAATAGGTTTTAATTCGATTTTAGCATCATTCACAATATTTATTAATCATTAAAATTAAAAATAACAAAACAAGTTCACAAATAAATAATGATAATTTTTTTATTATTATGTAATACTTTTAATTTATACTAATTATTAATCTAGCAAGTGAGTATGAAGATTATTTATAAACAAGTTCACGAATCAATAATATAAATATATATGACTATTATGAAATATCTTTTGATCTTTCATTTGTATTAATCATTTCATTAGTAAGTGAGTATAAAGATCATTTATGAATTACTGTAATAAATTAGTAAACAAGATAACAAATTAAGCATACTACTTTCCAATTATTTTATTCATATTAATTATTTCATTTAGCTCGTAAGTATAAAGATCATTTATTAATTATTGTCACGGCTGATGCTGAAATTTAGGGTCCCTATTTAAATTTATAATATCTACAAAATTCACATATACTTTTACTAACAATACTAACCCTAAAAAAATATTAACAAAAAGTCACAAAAATTTCAAAATATCATAATAAAATAGGTCAAAATTTTAGCATCAGCCGCGACAATTATTAGAATTAACAGGCTCATAAATCAAGAACATAAATGCTTATTTACTATTGTGAAATATGCTTCAAATAAATTTATTACATTAATTCAGTTGGTAATTATAAAGATTATTTGAGTTAAAAGTAGCAAAATAAATCACAAATCAAGAACATAAAACTTATTAGATATTATGCAATATTCTTTAAATCATTTCGTTCACATTGTTTTAGTGAGTGAGTATAAAAATTATTTATTAATTGTTTACTGCGCTTTTCAAATTACTGTGCCCATCAAATGATCGCCCATCACACGGAAATCTGAAAAATTTTGGCACTTTCTCATAAATAAATCTAATTAAAATGTCAGAAACAAAAAATTCTCTAGATTCCCCATTACATTTCGATTCTCCAGCAACACTTCTAGTAGTACACTAGATCTGGTAATTATTGTAACAAAGTAATATCAAAATTTCCAGAGATTTTTTTTTCTTTTTTTTGTTAGTGGGAATTTTGATATCATTTCGACAAACCAGCTACCAGCTCTAATGTACTACTAGAGGCAGCACTGTAGAATCTAAATATAATGGGGAATCTTTGGAAATTTGATTTCTAGACATGTTAATTAGATTTATTTATGAAAAAGTGCCAAAATTTGCCAAAATTTTCAGATTTCCGTGTGATGGGCGATCATTTGATGAACACAGTAATTTGAAAAGCGCAGTAATGACTAATCTATACATTGGACACTCAATACTCTCTTTCATTCCATTTAAATCTATACACAGTACATTACAATTACTCAAAAGCATACAAATTCGGAAAATTTTCACAGAATCCGATTCAGAAGTATTTATTTATTGCCTGTTACTTTAGAATGTAACGTTACGTACATGCGTTCAGTACTTGCTATATTTGTGTTCCAGAACGGTATTTAGATTTTTCACCTATAGAAATTTTTTTCATAAAATTTTTCGGGCAATCAAATGATATCACTTTTAATACTTATAATACTCTAAATAAGATTTCTTTCAAAAATTTCAGTATAAGTTTTAGTTTAAAATCTTACGGAACCACTTAACCATAATCGCTAATGTTAAAATAAAATCTAGCCTTAAATAATCGATGATCAGCATATCAAAAAAATTAATGAATTAATTTATTTATTATCGCATGTATAAGCAAAACCCTTGTGGTGAACAGGTGTATTAGATTTTATTATCATGTTCATGTCCTCCACTTTGCTCCCGGCAAAAGAATAAAAAATAAAAAATAACAGAATTTTAGATGACTATCACTATGAACGCTTAATAGCGAAAAAAAAACAACAAAAGATTAATAATATATAAAAAAATATTATTACAAAAGTGTCAAAAGAATCCCACATTATGATGAACTTATTTATAAAAAAAAATTTTCTACAAGAAACATATACAAAAAACTTAAAGAACTAGTAAATAAATAAAAAAGTTTCTCGAAAAAAAAATAAATAATATATTTTTTTCTCTAATTATAATTAAAAAAATTTTTTTTCTAAATTGTAAATAATTCTGCTCATACCATACGTTAATAAATAAATTATTATTAATTAGTATTGATTTCCATATTTTCTAGTTTGACCATCACTTCTATTGGTTGAATACATATTTTTTTGCGTTACAGTATGATCACTATTGGAAGTACTGTTGGAATTGTTGGAATTACTATTCAATGAAGACGCTGTAGAATATGTTGAATCCGAATATTCATGAGTCAGTGTATTTGCTAAACTATTACTACCACTAGCATTATTATTAAAATTACTAAATATTGGTGCATTTAATTGAATATATGAACTTCTAGAATCATCATATGTTTGAGAAATGGTTTGTGTAGTTACTGTACTAAAACTATCATTACGTAATCTTGAATGATCAATTTTACCAGTAGTTACTGAAGATTGTACCCCACGTAAAAGGTTATATGTTGTTGGTGAAGCTGGATAATTAGAATAATCTTGTGAATATGTTGAATATGTTGAATACATTGATCCCATTGTATATCTTCCTTTAGAAGGTCTTGTTTCAGGTTGTGTAAATTCAAGACCTAAATATACTGATTCTGGTGATTTTCTAAATTCATCTTGATCCATAGTTGGTAAAACATCTGAATCTCTATTACTATTATTTGTAAAGTATGATACTGTTGATCCACGATCACGATCTGTTAAATCTTCTAATGGTAATGTTGGTGAATTCATTTCACTAGATACTCCATTTACTATAAATGGTCTAATAGGTGTGCCAGTTCTTGTATCTGTCTCACCACTTGATGATGAATTTGAATCTCTTATATTGTTGTTTCCAATATTTAATGCATTAGAAATATACAAGTATTTTGATAATCTAACATTTTCCGTGGTTTGTTCACTTGCTACATCATTAAAGGTTGATGTACCTGATAAATATGTTGTAGTAGTAGTGTTTGTCTGATTAGTGTTGGCCTGATTCCATATCGTATTAGAGTTTGTCTGATTCCATGTGTTTGTCTGATTTTCAAGTTCATTATCTTCAGGTGAATTTCTTCTATCAACAGTTCCTGCTGGTATCATTAACATTTCCGGAGATATAGAGTGAGAATTCATATATTCTGTATTATTATTATTATAATTACTATTATTATTATAATCATTACTACTACTACTACTAATATTATTAAACGCTAGAGGAGTTATGGGAACAGGCGTTGGTGTACTGCTTGAGAATGAATTTGGCCTTGCGGCAAATGGATAAGAATTATCATCCATAGAACCAAAAATATCATTCTCACTTCTTTTTTTTCTTCTACGTCTACAACAAATGAATAGGAATAAAATAGCGAAAAGTAGTAATGCTCCAAGAATAGGTCCAACTATCATAGCAACTTTACCAGCGTCAATCGGTGAATTATCATTAGAACTACCTGAAGGAACACATACGTTTCCACTACAAGCTGAGTTTAAATTGCATACAGTGTCATCTTGACATGGTGAATTGTCTTCGACTCTTGAGTAGCACATATGGTCTGTAAGGTTGCAATAATATTGAGTAGAATCTTTACATGATAAAGAAGTTATAGAATCACCAGTAAGGCAAGGAATTTGAGGTTCCTGGGCGGAACTATTTGTTGCTCCCGTTGGAATTGATGGAGTTGGAGTTGGAGTTGGAGTTAAAAACGGAGTAATAAATGCTGTATTGGATGAAAGCGTTGTAGAGGGTAAATTAGTTTTTAGAGTTGACTTGATTGTCGAAGGAGAGGTGCTTTGATGGCTAGTTGTGGTTTTGGTGGTTATATGCGTAGTAGTCGATTTCGAGTCGTCGCCATTATCGTCTTCACTATCGTCGCTGGACGAGGCGGCTGTTGCTTTCGGGGAAGAAGCTAACAATTTATTTACAGTCAATGGAGAAGGTGATGAATTTTTTTGTGAAATTTCGGGTGATGAATTTTTTTGTGAAATTTTAGGTGATGAATTTTGCGTATGTTCAGGTGATGAATTTGACGAAGGTTTAGATGATGAACCATTTGCTGGTTTGGGTGATGATTTAGATGAGGAGGATGATGATGATTTAGATGTTGGTTTAGGTGAAAGGTTAGGTGAAGGTTTAGGTGTAGATTTAGGTGACGAGAGTTTAGGTGAAGGGATGGCCGCGGGTGATTTTTTTGGTGAATTTACATTAGTTTTTGAGCCAGAAAAATTTGGTACTTTTTTTTTTTTTTTTTGAGTGAAAAAAAAATCGAATTATAGCTCGATTCACACCCTTTTTTTTATGATATTATTTTATGAATTAAAGAAATATGAAAAATATAATTACATTTAGTTGTTAGCCCATTTACTACTACCCCAAGGAGGATCATCAAGGTCAATATAATCTTAAGGAATTTCATTGTTGTAAAATTATGATCGACCAGCGAAGGTATGTGTAATTTTCTTCGAGTTTCGACTATCTACTAACTTTTTTTTAAAAAGAGAAAATTAGTACCTCCCCAGTTTGAATGTATTTGAAATGTGTTTGACAGAGTCTGTGCGAGAGTAAAGCAAGACTTAAGACTTACTTTGATGCGTTAATGAGTTAAGCTCAAAGCACAACTATGCGTGTATGTGTTGGTTTTTCTTTGTATTAATGAAGGATGTATTTCATTTGTTTTTCGAGGAACGGTTTTTATTTTTTGCGATCGAGGAACAATTTGCCAACTGATTTGTTCCATAAGATACTTTGCAAAAAATATCTACTAAAAAACCATTATGAAAATTGATGAAAAAAAACAACACAATGGGTGAAAAGAAATAAAAAGGACTGCCTTTTTTCGAGGACCGGTCTTGGTTAATTAATATCGAGTAACAATCAATATAAATGCAGTGTTCTATATTGTGGCAACTAAAAAATTCGGCAATATTTTTGTTAATGCCTTTTCTGATTGGATAAATGGATATGCACTTAAAACATGTGCAAAATATTTACATTGAACAAAATTAATTTTAATGTATTAGCAAACATAAAATCACAATCACATGATTATTGTATAAATCAAGCTCGACATTATAGGCGTAAATCAACTTTTAATGTAAATTAATTATTCAATAATGCATTACCGACTAGTTTTTACTTCAATGATACAGTATGTTAAATTTTTTGTTTTATTACTTCCACATGGCAGCAGGACAAATAGTTCTAAATTTACTATCCGTAATATGGTAATTTGATGTGCATTTCGACTATTAAAAGTAATTCTAAAAATGTGCCGGTCAAGGGAATAGATCTATTGTTGATCGCGATTGTTACAATTTACTGCACATATGTGTACCTTATTATATTTGTATGACCTTATTTTTTAATGAATTAATGCATTAGTTCAACCGCCAACATATTATAATAGTTCAAGAACGAATACATGATGAAATCTAATCACTTATACATACCTAATATTACGCAAATAAATAATGTACAACTAGTCTGTCCACTTGTTTCCTGTCTAACTATGAGCCGAACGCCATATCGAAAATAATTAATTTGTCTCTCTAATAAATCATAAATTTTGTGGCTTATTTTTTTGTAATAATTTTTCTAAGATGCTGAATTTTAGACAAAAACAATGAGTTCTTTATTATCATCATCACTCTTGCAGTATAATTATACCGTAATAGATTAATTATGTATCTCAAGTTTTGTAAGAGGTGAAAAGCATAAACTGTAATGTGATATAGGTTAGGATTTATCCTGCTTAAACTATGTTTTAAAGTTCGCTTGAATATTACTCCTGACAGTTCCAATGTACTTACGTAAAATTTGGGTTTCAAACAATGTTTGTAATGTTTGTACAAATGTACTTGTAGTTATGCTCACTTGAACATGTTAGCTTAAACCGTTGATATTTAGTAGAGTATTCAATCCGCTCAACATTTACTCTATTTGTGCCATGAAAAACCCGTATTTAATAAGCTTGGTGGTATCACTTGTTTTATCACTTTTAATAAGTTTATTTCAGAAGAAATGCTATAAATGCAACTTCCAAAATAATTTCATTTTCATATTATAAAAATTGACTATAAATAATGAAATTTTTTTTGCTCAAAAACTGATAATAAACTCTTATAATTGAAATTTAACCGATGTTGGTTTCTAATAGAAATATAAATAAGCAGAATACATTAGAAGAATACATTAGGAGATATGTATAATGTTCACTTAGTATAAGTATTAAAACGTAAAATAATATAAGGCATAGTTATAACTAAATTGTATATAATATAAGAGAAGCAAAATTTCGAGAATAAGAATCCCGACAGGGTCGAAATTCCTAAAAAATTGGCCAACACTAAGTTAATCCTGGCTAACTTTGAGGATCCTGTTATCAAGATTTTGATCCAGACCCATAAGAGATGTTGTAGCTATTTTTGTCTTTTTTGCTTTTAAATATTTATTATCATAATTAATCTTGATGGGTTTTTTCAACCAAATTTGTATATTTTGGTTCATTATTTACATCTTGTAATCTAGTAATCAAATTTGATGATTTGATACCATTTTGAATCATGTTGAAACAATTCGAATAATACCAAAATCATCAAGATTTGATCACTAGATCATGAGATATCAACGATAAACCAAAATACAGTATATGAGGATACGAATTTGGTCGGAAAATAATTTCTTATTTCTGATTTTCGATTTCTTTAACATTACTTCTGATGGCGTACGGCAATATTGTTACTGCCATACCGAATTTTGATCGTATTTGTACGGTTGAGTTTTAAAATTCTTTTGATAATAATCTTTTCTGTCTAATAAGAATTTTAAAACTCAACCGTACAAATACTGTATAATCAAAATTTTGGTGCGGCAGTCATAACAACAGCCGGACGATAATACCGTTATCATATGGATAGGTAAAAAAATATTGGTACGGTGGTATGAATGTATATCAGTGATAACACCAAATATCTTTCATAGATATATGGGCCGCAGTCGTGGCCTTATATATTGAACCTAGCAAAAATGCGCGGTAGATCCTCGATTTTGATTGGCTAACGACCGAAGATCTTCGAAATTTTGGTCCCGCATTACAAAATTGTTTACTAAATTCCGGCCGGAATTAACTTTTTAATTTTTTCATTACAAAAATAGAAATTTTTAAAAAATAAGCACGCATTATGGTAAAATTGACCCAGGAACAATTTTCACTTAATAGGCGGCTGCGATTTAATTAGTAAAATTATGAGTAATTTCGGCTTAATTTATTTTAGCCAATCAAAATCGAGGATCTGCTGCGCATTTTTTGTGCGGCACCTAGGTTCAATGGCCAAATATCCCCGACAGATATTTTATCCGATCACTGATTTATATCACCATACCAATATTTTTTTTTACTCACCATATGATAACTTATAAATATTATACTATATAAAGACTTATATATATATATAACAGAGGGAAATATTGAAACGTCACAAAATTGTTACACAATTGATAAAAAATTTTTTTATATTATTTTACAATACTTTTTGGAAGGTTCGCTTGACTTATGTTTTTTATAAATATTGAAAATTTTTAAACAAACATAAAGCTCTTACTTTGCTTTACAACATATTTTTTAAATCCTCTTGAATTCTACGATTTTGTATTTTACAATTTGATTGGTTGACTAATCTTGTAGTGATATTTGACTGGTTGATACAATGAGTGATTTGTGTAATAGAGAATAAAAATCATATCTATATTTGGATGTTTCCTCCTATTCATATATATTTGAAATTTCATAATTCTTTTAGTAATAAACAAATTAATTTTCTAGAATCATATAATAATTCTTATAAAATTAAATTTAATACAATATTATGGCAGTTTGCAAAAAGGTGTGACCCTGTGATTTCGTGATGATAATAATGGAAAAATTTTTGAGATTTTAATTTCCTATTGGTCTATATTTTATTCGAAATCTTTAAAATTCTTTAAGAATCGAAAAATTCACTAGAATCAGCCGATTTCTTGTGATTTTACATAATATCATTATCTGCAAAGGTCACACCTTTTTGCAAACTGCCATAATAATGCATAATTAAATTCTTTACAAAATAATGAAAAAAGATACTAAATCAAATATATTACAAAATAACGAATCTATAACTTTATTTCTGTAATAAAATATTTAAGAAATCGGGAATCAAAAAATCAGAAAGGATCAATTTCTTTTTTTTTTTTGATTTGCAAATTTTATATAATTTTGCAACCGAACCTTATTTAATAACAATTACACGATATGTCATATGTAATTTTTTTATATATAAAATTATAATAAAAAATATATAAAATTACTATGAACTTTGCAGCTTTGATGTTTTTCGATCTACATATTAACTTAAAAATAAATTTTATGATCATATATAACAAATAAAGAAGAAAATTTTGAGCTTAAAAACTATGTTAAAATTTTGCTAGTTTTGTACAATTTCAAAAATTAACTTTATTAAAAACAAATATTTACTAATTTTAAATTAGTAATTATATGTAAAGTTATGCTCTGAACAACTTTAATTAGAAGATAAAAGTAGGTTACCTTGATAGAAAAATGAGTTAGCTATGTACTAAAGGTAAAAATTCCAGTTTTTTATATATAACTTTTTTTCTACTTAGATAACTTGCTTTCATCTTTTAATTAAAGTTGTTCAGAATAAAATTTTACATTTATATTTTTTGTTGGTTTTCGCTTTTGCAAACCTTTTACTAAGTAAAAAATAGGGTTAAAGTTAGAAAAAAAATTTATTCTAAAAAATTTTTTTGTAAAATTTTTTTTTTCTAACTTTAACCACATTTTTCACTTAGTAAAAGGTTCACAAAAGCGAAAACCAGTAAAATATATAAATGTAAAATTTTATTTTGAACAACTTTAATTAAAAGATGAAAGCAGGTTATCTAAATAGAAAAAAAAGTTATATATAGTGTTACAAGTGGGATAGCCTTCTTAATTGACTATCTGCAACATAGCACACAGTGACAGGGATCTTTAAAACAACAGGGTGAGATATGAAGCAGTGTAGAAGTGGAATATTTCCTCACTAGAGCAGTTCGGTATATTCATTAGAAGCATAAAGACATAGTTTACTTTAAAGCAAAGATATGTTTATTTATTTATAATATAATGTCTAGATACAAAGCTATCTATAGGTATCTATTTCTATAGAATCCTAATATTTAGAATATTGCAGAGAACGAATCCTCCTGTACAAGAAGGATAAAAGCTAGGGTTTATATAGCTTTTACAACATGTATAAAAGATATAAAAAGTACTAAACATATAAAAGGTATAAAAGATACAAAAGGTATAAAAGGTATAAAAAATACAAAAGATATAAAAGGTATAAAAAGTATAAAAGGTATAAAAGGTATAAAAGGTACAAAAGGTATAAAAGATATAAAAAGTATAAAAGGTATAAAAGGTATAAAAGATACAAAAGGTATTATCTAGTTAACTGATAGCTCATTCTATAATATTTCTATTACCTTTAAAAACAAACTCCATAAGTTAATAGTTCATCCAAATTGTCCAATAGAATTATCAAATTTTTGCATGTTGTGTCGATCAGGATTAATTTAGAATAAGGTATATTCTATATAGCGTGGTTTCTAGTTCTAAGAATTTTTTTTTTCTCTTTTTGTTAATATCAATAATATTAACAATATTAATTATAATAACATTAACAACAACAACAA